GCAATGTTTACGGGCGATTCTCCTCCGCACAGTTCGAAGCCCAACTGTGCGAGTGCCGTCAATGTTTGATGCAATGATAAAATCAGATACTACGTTATTCGAAGCAATATCGAGCTCTTGGAAGATTCGAACGGGCCTACCGTAACATGGAAGGAAGAGGCCTGACAACTTGGTGTGGAAGTAATACGTGCTCGTTGCACCAGTCAACTCTGAATTGACTGGTCCAACGAGCGACCATGTGCGAGCGGATGAGTTAGTCGTTGCGGCGCAGGATCGCAGCGCATACACAACACTGTGCCGATTGGTTTCGGTGATATCAAGCGCACAAAGGCGCCTTTGCGTCGTGACGATCCCTGATTGGCTCCCGAGGATCGGTTCGCGGAGCCAATCAAAAGCTTGGGAAATACTGGTATATGTATACACCAACACACTGTTTACAAACAAGCTCGCTTTGCCCACACTGGGTGTGGGCATTGTTCGTGCGCAGAAATCAGATTCCGGTGAAGCGAGGCATCCGCGCATGCGCGGAGCCGACAGCATTGTGACGTCAGAGTTGAGTTGGTCTATAGTATAAATGGCAAACTTTATAAACCTCGAAGGCGAAAAAAAAAGAAAAAAAAAAGCTCGTATAACTTATTGTATGCTGTGCCAATTGTAATTATAGTACTTTGTTTCCAAATACATCAAAGAAATATTTAAAAAAAAAAATGAAAGCCGCTTACAACTCCCTGTAACACCGAATTAGAGCGCAGCTCTTGAGGAGGAGGAGGGAAGGGCACTGGGGGGGGGGGGGGTTAAACTAACCAGTGGGGGGTCACGTGACCCCCAGTGCCGATGATGTCATCACTGACGTCACTGATGACGTCATCACTGACGATGACGATGCGGGTACCGATGACGTCATTAGTGACGTCACTGATGACTTCACCAGTGATGATGACGATGACGATGCGAATGTCGGTGACGTCATCAGTGACGTCGCTGATGACGTCATCAGTGATGATGACGTCATCAGCGAGTGATGAGTGATGATGACGATGCAGATGCCGGTGACGACATCAGTGACGTCACTGATGATGTCATCAGTGATGATGACGATGACGATGCGGATGTCGGTAACGTCATCAGTGATGATGACGATGACGATGCGGATGCCGGTGACGTCATCAATGATGATGACGATGTGGATGCCGGTGACGTCATCAGTGATGATGACGATGACGATGTGGATGCCGGTGACGTCATCAGTGATGATGACGATGACGATGCGGATGCCGGTGACGTCATCAGTGATGATGACGATGTGGATGCCGGTGACGTCATCAGTGATGATGACGATGACGATGTGGATGCCGGTGACGTCATCAGTGATGATGACGATGATGATGTGGATGCCGGTGACGTCATCAGTGATGATGACGATGACGATGTGGATGCCGGTGACGTCATCAGTGATGATGACGATGACGATGCGGATACCGGTGACGTCATCAGTGATGATGACGATGACGATGTGGATGCCGGTGACGTCATCAGTGATGATGACGATGACGATGTGGATGCCGGTGACGTCATCAGTGATGATGACGATGACGATGTGGATGCCGGTGACGTCATCAGTGAGGATGACGTCATCGGGGGGTCACGCGACATCGGCGGGGGTCACGTGACCTCGGGGGGTCACGTGACCTCGAGGAGGGGGTCACGTGACCTCAGGGGAGTCACGTGACTTCGGGGGGTCACGTGACCTCGGGGGGTCACGTGCCCCCCACGAGGTCACGTGACCCCGGTGGGGGGCTCGCGCGGTGCATTATGGGACATTTCCCATGATGCACCGGGGTCACGTGACCTCGGGGGGGTCACGTGCCCCCCACGAGGTCACGTGACCCCGGTGGGGGGCTCGCGCGGTGCATTATGGGACATTTCCCATGATGCACCGCGCGGTTACGCCGACGCCGACGCCGACGCCGACGCCGACGGCGACGCCGCTCAAGCCGGAAACGGGCCCCTAAGAGCTGCGCTCTAAAAACTTCTGTGCACGTGACCCGAACGTCGCGTCGTTGTCCACGTGATACCACAACTTGGCACGGTGGCGTCGCGTCACGTAACCTGACGTTTATTCTCTCCACTAAACGTTCGCGCAAATTAACGTCACGTAACCACACCTTAGGTGCGACTTGGTCGCGTGACGTGCGTACCTGACGTCACATGCGAATTCGCGGTGCCGCGTGACGCCGGGACACTTGCGTCGATATTTCCGCCACATTTGAAAGTGAAATTTGACGTGTACCGGGACACTGTTGTGTAAAGTTGTGGCGCCCACGTCGATTCCCCCCCCCCCCCCCCCCCTAAATTTCGCAGTAAAATGCACGGGCCGCTGTGCGTTAACAAGGCAATCCACCTACTGAAACGTGAAAAAAAAAAAAAAAAATCGCGGTGTCGTGTTGGTTTTGTGTGCCTAGTTTACTTGTGTCCTTTTTTTAGCCACATTCCCGCGTGTGTACGTGCGTCTATGTAGACCCGTAGCAACGTGCACTGGCGGTCGCACTTTCCGAAGATCGCAGAAGACGACCTTCAGAGTACAAACCCAACGGCTTTAGTAGCAGGCGTCTTCTCGTATGTCGAATTACTGTTTTGCCCGTTCCCCAACTTTCCGCGAACTCGGGCAGTCATAGAAGGAAGGAGAACCCCATACAAACAAACGAACAAAGAAAGCTAGGGTGTCTGTCGGTAAAGAGTTTTGCGGGTCGAGTTCTGCGGAAGCCTTTTCTTGGCCGCGACGGGCCTTTCGGAAGACTTTAGAGAGGAAACCAAAGGGGGCGGAAGGCGGGACCGCTGCTGTCACAATAACTCGGTTCCCGCCGCCCTTTTGTCGTCGCCGTGTTGGCGAAAAAAAAAAAAGGATGGGACGAACAGGAGGCGGACAAGCTGGCTGCTTTGTCGGGAGCACGACAACAAAGGGAACGTTTATGGGGTCCCAACACCCGTACGGTCTTTAACGCGCGACAACACGTGCGTCTTTGGGTTGCCTCCCCCCCCCCCCCCCTTTCTCCCCCCATTTTGTTTTTCCTGGTTTTCCTCGCGGTTTAGGTGATGTGACTTCTGGGTTTATGCGTTGACTCAACCCACATAGCCGTTTATACAAGTTTACAACATCCCACCACTGTGAGTGGAAACGCGCTTTGCTGGGGGCACTAGCCCAAGAACCATGGTCACGACTTTGTAACGCCAAGACTCGATCCTCTGAATAAGGTACGCCTTAGAGTATCGGCTCTCCATACCCCGACTATGTTGCGGGCGCCGCCATTTTGGAGGTCAGTGCAGAGCGGGCGCAATTGGCGACAGCTGTCATTCGAAAATACGACTGCCTGATCTTCAGGGCGTCAGGCATCTCTGGCGATATCGTTTCTCTTTGTTTCTGATTCTTTTAACCTTTTCTCAAGGACGTAAAAGCGTTTCCTGCGGTATAAGATAACCACGAGTTTAAGCCCCAGGACGGTTCAGGCTAGGTGGCGCAAGCTACCGCCCGTTTTAAAGGGTACAGTCGTCAGCATCCATCCATCCATCCAACGACGGAAGTGTCGTTACTCTGAAGCGGCTTGATCACTGACTCTAGCTAAGGCTATGCGCCGAAAAATTGAGGGAGAGGAGGAGACGAGAGCGTGCGAGGACGTCAAAACACTGAGCTTTTGTTCGATTGATTAGTGGGAAGACCCAGAGCTGTATATGTAGAGAGTTTGGCCATTCGTTGGGAAGTATAGGAGACAAATGAGGAGGCGCCATTGGCCGAAAGCGGGCTGGGCGTGTTCCAGGGCTTCTTTAGAAATTCGAATCTGACCAACCAGAAGCCGGAAATAATACCCTGGCGGTGGTCGCGAGAAACAAACCTGATAACTGCATTGAAGTAACTCTCGATGGCTGAAAATATGGTGCACGTGATGTTTCAATCACGCTCATCCAAAATGATGGTGGAAGAGTACGACTAGCGGAACGATCGACATAATCCGTACGCCAAACGCCGAGGGCCGGGAATCTGCCGTCTGAGCGGTCACACTCTGTCCGCGCAAAACAGAGTTGAGCGGTGCATTCGTTTCTTACATCTTTCTGCATGGTCATGATCAAAACAGCACGTGAACCCTATTTTCAACCAAAAAGAGTTACTACACTTCACTCTTACGCACTTATTAAAACCATATACGAACATAGACCTTTGATCAGAACTGTTTCTCGCTACCACCGCTAGGGGATTCTTTTCGGCTTCTGGTTGGTCAAGAGAGCATGCCAAGCCCTCTTTCCGAGTGTGCTGCACGCCCTGACTCTGCCCGCGCCTCCCATTGACCAAACTCTCTACATATACGGCTCTGGGAAGACCTAAAGCACATATAGCCTCTTCTATACTCACAAAGCCTGGCAGTTCGACGATGACGGAGGGCTTAGCAGAGGGGGAAGCGCGGTCTATGAAAACTCCCTACGGCACTGCAATTCACTGTTATATTTAACGAAGACATTTCACCGCTAAATTCAGCGTATAGGTTTTTTTCATTAAATTTTAGCGGGCTTCAACATGCAGGTCGCTTCTCCCGTCTTGCAACAGTCTACGCAACGAAAAAATCGCAAGGGTGCAGGCGAGCTGGTGGTTAATTTTAACCATGTTGAATTAACCTGAGACTGGGGTAGAGAAGAACATCAAAACGAAGGGACAGAAAATAGACAGGACGACGTCTCAATTTGAGACGTCGTCCTGTCTATTTTCTGTCTCTTCTACGTTTTGATGTTTCTTCTCTACCCCAGTCTCAGGTTAATTCAACATGGTTAATCTTCTACGCAACGAAGACGCTCCCACTGCGCGTGCACGCCGCTGGTCTTGTCCGTTTCGGAGAGCCTTCCGGGACGGCGGGAAACGATCTACGAAAACACCCCAACAACGGCCATCGCCGTTAGAAACACACACAACTGCGCCGGAGTAAAACGGCAGGCATATTATGGCACCTTCGCTGACATCGACAGATCACAGGGCGTTTTTATAGACATGATCGCACCGCCTGGTGTGTTTGCGAAAGAAGGTGCCGCGAGGACACCGCATTTTGAAGAGTTGAAAATCGCTGCCTCTTCGCACGCACCAGATGTATCCGGTATCGGTGTCCGGGTCCGGAAAACGATCCTCCGAAACGCACGTGAACAGCCCGGGGGAGTTAGTCACCGGAGATCTCGTAAGACGTTGCGACGTGGTCATCGTTGGCTCGGACGTGGTCATCGTTGGCTCGGACGCGGTCATCGTTGACTCGGACGTGGTCATCGTTGGCTCGGAGGCGTTAAGCAGTAGGGCTTTCCGAATGGCTTCCTGGAGCGGGTTCTTTCCGCGACCACACTTGCCTCTGAAATCGTCCGTCTCGATGGACCATACCATGGCTCCGGCGAGTCCCTTGTCCAGCGCCAACTGGACCTGTGATGTTTTGCCGTCGAAAAGTGTCGTTTATTACCACGATACTCAAGCCGCGGTTGCTAATATATCATGCAAATTTATGTCGACGCATGTACGAAGCAAACATGCTTCGAACATGGTCGGCGCGAGTATAAGCAGATAAATACGTCATCATCTCTTGCTGAGAAATTCGGTGTGTCTTGTAGGATATGTATGAGCAACAGGATTGCGGCTTTAGATGTCTCTGATCCGGAACCAATCCACCAGGCTGCCCAAGTTTCGATATCATAGAATATTCCCAGAGTTGTCCCACCGTCCGTTCGTCCGTCCGTCCGTCGATCCGTGCATCGATTTTTCCGCTAAATTTAGAGGGTTAATTGACGTCGTACGACGTCACGGTATCAAGGTTGGCAGCACGGTTTAACTATGACGTCATGAATACCTGTTAAATGTATAGCGCAAAATATCTTGTCAGGTTACCTGACGTCATGTGACTTCGGGTCACGTAACGCAGTGCCATCACGTCACGTGACAACATCGTGCGACCTCGGGTTACGCGATGCCAGTTTCCTCACTAAATTTAGCCGGGACATCGATGCCACGTGACCTGACTGATTTGATGTGACGTCACGTAAACACAGCGATGTCACGCTCCCGCGTCACGTGTCCTCTGGTTAGGTAACTCGCCAAATTTAGCGGGTAATCTGATAACATTCTATGCCTCCGCCCTATAGGCCACTCAAGGACTCGACACCTTGACGTCGATTTTCCCCTTAAATTTAGTAACTAAAGATAACCTAAATGGCGAATAACGAGACAATTCGCAGTGAGAAGCTCGCTCAAAGCGCTTTTGTTTTCCCCACTGGGCGGTGCACATGCTACCCGCGCGGTTATGTTTTAATTTTCACACTGCGTATAGGAAGTATTCACTGGCGGTCGTAGCTTTGTGCGCGACTGCTGAGCGCGTGCTGATGGCGAGCTTCCACAGTTCTTTTGCAACGTGCATTCCGCACCATCAAGAGTGCCGGTCTTAGCAGCCTATTGATGTGAGATCGTTCTGAGCATGCGCTCTGAACAGCACCCACAAATATGGCGTCAGTGGATACTCTTTATAGAAGCTTGGCATCGCATGTGCTCGCGCCAGCAGAGGAAGTTGAAGCATCCTCCCTCTGGGCTGTGCAAAAATTTCACCCGGCGGCAATACCCAAACGTCTCGCCTCGAATACTCCTGAAACGACTGTTGAATGTATTCGCCCTGACGTCACCGCTTCGCGTGCGAGCCACGTGACGTCACCGCCCCGTGTGGTGGTCGTGCTGCGTCATTCCTACTTGTTCTTGCGCAAAAAGAAAAAAATCGACCAGTCCCGTGTTAATCTGCAGTAAAGTCACAGCGATAGCTTCGACACGTCTCGGCGAAGTCGAGGGGAATCGGCGTCGCGTTCACGAACCGTGGAATGCGTGAAAAAGGTAGACATCTGATATGTTCCGTTTTGTTCCGAGCGCTTTATAGTTCCTTTATTTGGTCTTGGGCGCGTGAAAATGCGTCTCCCGGCACAAGCTCTTCGCATTGACAGTGTTACTGCGGCATTTTGTTATCTGCTATTTTTTGTTTTTTCTGAAAAAACCCGTGCAGTGGGCTTATGATATACCACAAAACACCCAAGTTTAAAGCGGGTTGTGGCATAACCTCCTCTACACTGAAAAAGCCTGGCAGATCGCCACGAGAAGCGGCCGCCGAAATGGAAGAAAGTGGAGCGGCAGACAACGGATGAGAGGAGAGCCATGTGACTGGCGCCCCGCTTATTGGGCGAGACGCCGAAACACACTTCTCCCGAGCGAACAAGTGTGTTTCGGGTCCTCGCCGCTGCAAGAGCTGTGCGCTGACGTCCAGGTTCCCCGAGAAATGGCTCTTTGATGCTCTGTGCTGCCAGATCCAAATCTGCGACCGGGCACTCTACGGCGCCGTCGTCGAACTGCCAGGCTTTGTGCGTATAGAAGAGGCTATGGTTGTGGACGCTTTGGCGTAGCTCGGTAGTAACGAGCCCCTCGATATGTTTGCGCTTGTCTCGTGAGTAACGTCAAATGCGTCAGTGTACCAGAGGCCCGTTTCTCAAGCGGCTCCTGGAAGAAAATGGCGGCGCAGCACTGAAATCAGCGGCCCTTGGAAGCGAACGGCGGCGGAGCGCCTGCTTCTGGCACGTGCCTTACGCGTTTCCCCAGCGACGGTTGGCGGTACTTGTAAAAAAAAAAACTCCTTCATCAAGGGGCTCAGAGCGTGAAACACACGTGAGCAAGACTCGCGTCGCGTCGCGTCACCAAGCGGCGTAACCATAGGAACCGCCAATGCCGTGCCGTCCCATGATAGCGTCAGCGACGGTTGTTGCTATGGTCATGCCGCTTGGAGGCGCGATGCGGCGGGATTTTTTGCTGACATGTGTTTCAGGCTTCAGTAACGCCTCCACTGCGCAGGCAGCGGACCGCAGGTTCGATTCCCCCGGGCGGCGGGTGATCTTTTCCGAGGATTTGGCAACATCGACGACGGACGTCCTACATCGCCAGCCCGAACATCAACAGCAACATCAACATCAACAACATCAAGAACAACCACAACATGAACAACGACTACGATTACAGCTAAAAAATTGACAACGGACGCCATTTCCAGTGGTGGTAAGTACAGCTATCGCGTCGAGACCGGTTATAACGAAGTCAACGGGAATGGCAAATCACTTCGATATATCCGCTATTTCGTTATAACCGACTTCGGCTATAACGAAATGAAAAAAAGAATGGAAAATCGTGATCGCTTCGCTGCAGCTGCTATTTCGTTATAACAGACATCGTTATAACCGGTCTCGAGTAAAACGAAATAGGTAAGCGATATGTGTGTTGCAGAAGGTATATACACACTCAGCAGCGATGCCACGGCAATGGCAGCAGATGTGACGTCAGTACAAGCTATGTATGGAAGAGGTCGTTAAGAAACCCTGGGGCGAGGCGAGTTTCGATCATCTCATTATCGCTCTGCCGACAAAGACAATGCGGCATTAGTCGATAAGAGCGCCGCAAAACCAATCAGGGAGAGCGAACATAATAAAAACCATGCCCCGCAAATCTCGAGCTGTCAATGATCTTTTTCTTTTTTTAATAATTAGTTATATACGAGAACTGGAGGCAGGTGTACTCGGCTCAAAAATCTAGTTTTTTGGGAGGAAGGGAGCAGAAATACGTACATTTGATGTGGACCTCAATGAATTACGAGTCGTTGACGTAGTTCTCACGCGTGATAATAACTAGGCGCGTATCGTGTAAAAACTAAAGAGCCATCGAAACTCCTAACGACGTTTGGGCATACTAAATTTGCGACACAAAGTATTACAAATTATAGTCTATACCTGCCTCGTCACTCCTAACGCCGCAGTAAGACTGCTCATAAACATCATGTTCAAAGTCCGTTTGTTTCGTGCATGTGCGTGCTTCGAACATGCCCGCACAAAGTTTTTCTGCATGACCATTATGACATCACTTTGTTACAGGGACCGCAAAAAGGCTCACCTTATTCGCGAGGCTTTCGGCGTCGTCGAAACCGATCCACAAGTTGCCCTTGACCGCAACTGGGGCATCGACGTTGGGGTCTCGCGTCACTTTCCAGCCTCCGGTAGAGATAAGCGTGCAGATCTGGAGGAAGAAACAGAACTGGTTTCAACCGGAATCGTAAAAATGCTTTAACAAAAAACAAAACAAAAAACAAAAGGGACCAACATTAGCTTTATCGTGCTGACAAAGACCGAGGAGCACGCCATGTGTTGTGAATGAGCTAGGCACTTCCTAATGTTTCTAGATTAGCTCAGTTGCGGAACTCCCGCGGAGAGGGGTACTTCCTCACTCGTTTGAAGCGCCATGTAGATTTTCGTTTCAAAACGGTGTGTTCCATTGATTACGGTGAAGCGCCATATAAACGCTCTACTTATAAACATGCGTATTCGATAGAGTATCCTGCAGGTATACCATAGCAGCCGATCCCCCCAAAACGGTGGCGCGTTGAACGACAGAAAGCGACCCGGGGTGGGGGGGGTGGGGGGTGGGGGGGGGGGGGGGGGGATTCGTAATGTTTAGCAGCCAGCCTCTATGAAACGTCCCGTAACTGAGCCTATCTAGAATCGTAACGTGTGTGGCGTCATGACGTCACGGTGACGTCACAGTCGTTCGCGACAGGTCTTCATTACGTCTTTTTCGTAGAAATCGGCTGATAAAACACATCTTTTGTTAAAAACGACAAGGAAGCCACAACGAGTATCGGCTGTAAAAGTCCGGAAAGCTCGCACGTGATCCAAGAAAGCTAAGCTCAAACGCCACTCCAAACCATTTCGATATACACGCGTGGACAGACCAACGTTACTAGATTCGCTCAGTCGCGGAACTGCTCAGAGACGCTGCTTGCACCAGCAGTACCACCCTCTGTTGGAGCACCACTGTTTTGGGGAGACGCCAGTTATAGTAACTGCAGTGTATTCCATCGAATACGTACGTTTCGAAGCACAACATCTAGATAGCGTTTCACCGTACTCTATGGAACACAAAGTTTTCAAATGAAAAACTAGATGGCGCTTCAAACGACTGGAGGCTAAACTCCTTTGATAAAATTCAAACGTAAACATATCGAGGGGCTCTACGAAAGGTTGACTAAAATGAGTGAGGCAGGGTACAGTCCCTTCCGCGGTAGTTCCACAACTGAGGTAATCTATTAATGTTGGTACAAAACAAACAGACCTGCGGCCGTAGCCATGTTGAATGGCCGAATTTCCCATATGGGCGAAAACATTCAGTTTTGTTCACGCTACGCCATCACATAGAGGAACCTTGGTATACAGAGTTTTCGCGCCACTTCCGGCCGCCATGACAAGGGGAGAGAAACATTTCCGGTTCTCCTGCAGTTCTCCTATGTTTACCTTGTGTTTGAGTGGGTGCGCGACGACTGTTGAGTTACTAACGAGCAATTGCTTGAGAACTATGCTCTATAGAAGTGCCCCGGGTAAGGTGCTTTTGAATGACCGGTGCGCCGGAACGAACAGAATGTTAGAAGTGAAGTTATTTGATTATCTCGACACGAGCGCAGCCACCGACGCCGCCGAGCTTCGGAGATTGGCAGCTAAGCAGTCGGTGCTCGCCACTGATCTCTATGACAATTGCTGGATCGCGTTTGCCCGCTCCGCGAATGCGGTCACTGGCGGCCATCTTTAGGTAGAGTTATATCACCTCTAGCCAATGTAAGCTGCTGCAGCCGCTATCATCCATCCATGGCAGATAGCGTTTTGGCAGGTGGGTTGGCAGGCTGCGGTCAAAATAGCGTGGGTGATATTGCGTGATTGATTAAAATTATTTGACGAAACATGTTTTTGAAACCCGGCGTGAACAGTAGTCCGGCTTTTGAGGACCTGGTTAAAGTTTAACGAAATCGCAGCACCGGGAGAAAAGCAGCACAGCACGTATCGAAAGTCGCATCGAAAGAAGCATCGCAAGCAGACGACGGTACGGAGTCTGCTTTTGATGCGAGCTGCGCTGCTTTCCCCCGGTGCTGCGCTTTCGTAGAACTTTTGCCGGGTCCTCAAAGATGAGGCTACCGTTCACGCCGGGTTTCAATAATCTGCTTCGTCGAACAACTTCAATCAAGCACGAAATGTCACCCACGGTACAGTGTACTAGATCTACGGCTATTTTTATGGCAGCCTGCCGCCATTGCGCTGTCCGCCATATTACTATGATGGCTAGAGATGATATAACTCTACCTAAAGATGGCCGCCAGTGACCGCATTCCGGTCCATAGGAGGAGCTGGTCAAACGCGATCCAGCAAATAGACATAGAGATCAGTGGTGCTCGCCTACTTTGATGATGCTGCCGACAGACGGCGCAACGCGACAAACGCGAGGATGCGGCACCAGCGGCACCTCGACCGACCCTCTCCGTACAACGATAGGTGTCAACCGGGCCATTATGGCACGTATTCATGCAAGCGGACACTATGCTCTGGGAGAAACCTTGCACTCCGAAGCAAGCCAGTGAGAATATTGGAAGACTGGACATTACAGAGACTCGCGTCGCACCGAAAGAGGCGTAATAAAAACTTTCGAAAGATTGTCTGCTAAAACCAAGACCGGGCTCGGCGACCCAGCTGCAGGGAAGCGCCCATCTTCGCACCGCCATCACATGCGGTGTTGGTGCTTGGTGGCATTGAAAAATAATTTTCCTGTCCTAAAATACGCAAAAACAACAGCACCATTGCAGGAGATCTGTAGAGATAAACATGATTAATAAGTTGATTGCATGCGCGGTACCAAATACGCTTATATTGCCGAGGAACGGTGTCAGATGCTCCATAGCTATTTTGGCGCGATGGTTTAGGACGACTTTTCGAAGCTTCGAAGATTTGAATAGACCAAAACGGCGGTTGTCATGGCAACTGAGACCAATCAGCCAATCATCTTGCGAAAGTTTGGTCGTCTGTATGTTAGTATCTGTTCGTTTATGCCAGCAGGCAGGGAAGGCAATGGCGCCACTCTAAAAAAAGTCTTTGCGTCTACTTTGACACACACCACTCGGAGAGCCAATCAGCGCAACTTACGGAGGCAGCTCAGCGAATGACGATGCCGAAACATATGTTTAGATAAAAAAAACGCAATGCAAAACGTCACGCTTGCATTGCTTAAAGTCACAACTCAGTCTGCGTTTTTTGGTCTAAATAGAGGTTTCGGGCATCGTCATTCGCTGAGCTGCATCCGCAAGTTGCGCTGATTGGTTCTCCGAGTGTTGTGCGTGAAAGTAAACGCACATACTTCTTTTAAGGTGTACTTTCCCATGAACCAGCGACTTTAGGAACAACCAAAGAACCGACATCACGTCGTAGCCCAGTGTTGCTTGACTAGTAGCTAACCCGCTGGCCGCCTGCTAAAAAGCAGCTGGTCGCATCTTTAATATCGGTTTGAGTGGTGTACGCGGCATCAGTTCGACGTGATATTTCGGCTGTGATCATATTTCGTGCATCTGAAGCAGTACACTAGTCATTTACTACGGTTCGGCTTTTGACCGTAGTTGCCCTTTAACTACGTCCAGTCCCACAGCGTCCTCGGCTAAATACAAAACGTACCTCGTTGTAGCCAAGCAACCCCGGTTCCCTGGTGAAGGGTCCAGATTCACCGGGTCCCCACGTTGGCGCGTTGAAGCCGTGTTCGCTGGGGTCCTTCAGGGTGTACGTTCGCCCGTACAGCGGCATACCCAGCACGAGTTTCCCCACGTCAGCTCCTTCAGAGATCCAACTCGCGATGCTGGTTTCCTGCGTTGCGGATTCTGGACTAATGCGAAACCATATAAACGTTTTTTTTTTTTTTTTCGTTTTTTTTTCTGCAGCGGCGAGGACCCGAAACACACTTGTTCGCTCGGGAGAATTGTGTTTTGGCGTCTCGCCGCAGCGGGGCACCAGTCACGTGGCTCTGCTCTTATCCGTAATTGCCTGCCGCTCCACATTTTTCATTTTGGCGTCCGCGTGTCGTGGCGATCTGCCAGGCTTTGTCATATGTAGGAGGTTATGATATAGTTTAAGGTCACATAAATGAAGACGATTATAGATTATGATGATGCCTTGTTTTAGCGGTGAATCTATTAGCGGTGGTGAATCCGCTTCTGTCCCGTGCTGTGAACGTGATAGAGTATCCGAGATTGGTTGTAGATCTTCCTGCAAGTTACGAAGAAGTCGTGTGCCAGAAAACGGCATACGATTTTCGATGGGATCTCCTTCACAATACAAAAATTGAAATTCGAGCACTAGGATAAACAGGAATACGTACCACGTTCAGGGTGCTCTCGTCAGAAGAGCCGCCAATTCTGCCCCGGAGCGGTGCAGGATGTCCGGTGTGATAGTTCCACGGACCGAACAGATCGTAGCCCATGATGCTCATGAAATGAACATGCCTGCAGCACAGCGCAACAGGTGGGATACCTAAGTTCAGTCACATTCATTGCGCCAACCAGTGCCATGCACATCATGTGACCTTACACCTGTCTTCCCGTCGCTGTGGTGGCGCTGCTCAGACCCCAATTTGCGCGGAGACGCTTTGTGTCTTTCGCAACGACGTGGTCGACCTTGTGCCGTGACCCCATTAGCTGCGTAATAGGTCACACCTTCCGTCTCTTAAGCTGATGGTTGGCCCGACATGCCCACTTTGTGACCCTATTCTTTCCATACGCGACTTCATTGTGCTTCGTTCTACAATAAGTTAGAGCGAATTCCACATGCCGTATACGTTGACAGTTTGTGTCGAACGTTGTTCGATGCATCAAAGAACACGAGCACAGATACCAGGTCGGTTCATGCATCAGTTGAGCTTGGCATTTGTCATTGTGGTAAGTGACAGCTTAACAAAATACTCGGGGTCGTAAATCGTCTGCGGTTTTTAACGCAATAGCGTTAAGGAGCCCGTGTTGCAGAAAAGCCGGCGTCGATAGCGTGACGCGAAATCCTGATTGATTGATAGAGTCATGACGTCTTGGCCACATGACCTCGCGCGGGAATTTCAAAGCAACGCTCACGTGAAACACGTGACATCGCGCGTGGAATGAGAGTGATTAAAATTGTGACAGGAAATGCAAATTAATGGTCCCCGCTTCTCAGAAACGATTTCACTTTATAAAGCAATTAATTTGTCCCAAAGAAAAACATTAGACATTTTAGGCGGGATTCGAACCCACGACCCTTCGGCTGTGAGCCAGACCCGCTACTTACTTGGCCACGCAAGGCAGGCTCGCACGGCGAATGAGAAGGCGCTGCGAACGGGGCCCGATACCGTTCTCGCGTTCCACTCTTAAAGGTGAAGCTTAAGAATCCTCCAAGTTCTTGCTTGGGGATTCGTTCTTGGGCTTCCTCATTGGCTCATCCCGCAATCTTATTGACTGAGGGGTGATAATAAGATGATTAGGACCCGCCACGGCCTGCCTTTGTTAGGCTCCGATTGACTACGCTTCTACGACGACAGGAATAAATGAAAAATAAACATTCTGACCTGGAGATCTCTTTGACATCATAAGCTGCGTCGATTATCGCCTTTAGTGCAGACACGGAGGCCGTAAGTATGTGATCCTTGCGGTCCAATGCTTTCCTCAAATCCTGTAACGAACCATTCTGGCTGTTTCTCACATGGTATAGACGGCACAACAGGTGATGTAAAACAACACGAACAACAACAAGTTGGCAGCTTTTGCAGAGTATAGGTGGTATTCAATGGAAGCCATAGCTGGGGGGGGGGGGGGGGGGGGGTGATTGCTCACAGCGCACGTTCGGGGAGAGTTCCTCTTTATGTTCTCCCAAAGACGACACTCTTGATGGTGCACAATGTAAGCGTTGGAAGCGTTGTGGAAGCCTGCAGTAAGCACGTGCTCAGCAGCAGCGAGCTCAGCTATGGCCGCCGGGGAATGCCACCTACAGTTACTAAAGGCCGGATCACGCAGCAGAGTTTTCTTACGTTTTCTTACGTCACGTGTGGGTGACCGCAACATTCGTGTCCTGAATGTCGCGTCCCAAGCTGCCTCCTTGACCTGGTAGCCACGCTTAGTGCGAAGCGCACGTGTCCCGGTGACTTGTGGAAACTTTCGTAACGAAAGGTTAAGGAAGAAAACGGGCCTGTGTGAACCAGCCTTTACGTTTGACTATTATACGTTACGTTGCGATATGACTGCAAGGCACCAGAACATCCGTGCTTCCCATGTCACGCGGAAGACCATAGTCATGGCATCGACCGCACTCAAGTTCCAGTTGAGCGACAAACAAAAGAACCCACACCGGCAGAACTCAAGCGCGAGTGATTGTATACAATCACTCGCGCTTGCTTCACGAGAACCGAAACACTGCGAGATGCCAAAGATATACCCTCGCTTGCACTCTGCACGTGTTTCGACGCCTGTCGGTGTCGATGGTTTTTGGTTGCCGCTCTAGTGGGAGTCTTCATTGGCGGCCATAACAGTGTGCGCGGCTGCTGGGCGCGTGCTGACGGCGAACTTCCACAGTTCTTTTGGAACGCTCATCCCGCACCATCGAGATTTCCGATCTTAGCAGCCTATTACTGTGAGCTCGTTCTGAGCATGCGCTCTAAACATCGCCTTGAAATATGGCGTCCAGTGAATACCTTAAGCTGAGACTGCATCCAAAGCTACAAGCCCGAGCTAACCCGTGTTTCTAGCTTAGAAACGTGCATCTCCAGCTTTGTTAAAAAAAAAAAAAAACTTTTTAAGGCAGCGACATTTGTGCTCTTGTGCTTGCGGCATCCGGTTCCATTTTCAGTGTTCGTGCGTATGACGCGTGATTTGGCCACTTTCCGAAGTAACGAACATGCGTGTGCTGGGCTGAGGGGATCGCACGCTGGGCTGAAGACTTGTAAATGTTGGAATGGTGTATAGCGGGGGGCTCGGGCATTGCAGGTTTTTCCTTACAGGTGTAACCGGTAACTCCCGGTTGTATCATGCAACACATTTTAGCGCATTCAAACTCTAATGTATGTATTCCTCTTTAAACGACAGTGAATACAAATTCAAATTTTTACGCAGGAAAGATTTTTGGGGTAAGAAGTAGCATTCGCCTAGACAGGGCAAATACAATAGCACCTATTTTGTTCAAAGGATTCGGAAAAATACTTTTTCTTTTTTTTCAAGATTCAACAGGCAAATACTTTACAGTGTAAGATCTTCACAAGACGCTTCACCCCGAAGAACCCGGAGAAACATGCGTTAGTTAAAACGCAACCTTTTCTGACGTTACAAAATGTGCGCCGCTCATACAGTAGCTTTGTATATAATATGCAAATTAACGTCGTGTATGTTTTATCGCATTTGAGATCACGGGTTTATATGCCCTGTGTTCCAGTTTATCAGAACAGGGCCGCCGGCACACCAGCCCTATTCAGTGTGGACGGAGCCTTGGTTTCTGTGGTCGGAGCTAGCTTCTCTTGACCGAACCTGCAACTCCTTCTAACTGCATTTCCCTATCTACTCTAGAGCGCTGGAGTATGGCGTTTTTTCTTTTTTAGGGGGCGGATAAAAGGTTCACCGGAGGTTCGTACTCCGCTCCGCTACGCTACAGTCCACTCCGTTCGCACTAACGTTTTTGTGCTCACAAGAAATGCTGCGGGCTTAGATTCAAATACTTCCAATTCGCAAATAGTTTCTACCTTGAGCAACAGTGCGAAGTTCTTCTTATCGTTCGGGGATCCATCTCTTTGAGTCGGGTACTTCCAGTCGATGTCGATTCCGTCGAAGCCGTGGAGGTCCAGAAATGCGACCACACTCTCCACGAAGGCCCGGCGTTCCCGCTCACTCGACGCAATTTTAGAAAATCTTTCTGATCCTTCGTTCCAGCCTCCGATCGAGATGAGTGTCTTCAAGCCACGTCTTGTCCTCTTCAGGGCATTAAATTTTCTATACATTTCTAAGAGAAGGAAGGGAAAAACGCACGATGAGAGAGTGAAAAGCTTGTAGAGAGCACCAGACAACGCGATATAACGTCACTTTTATTTTTTTCTTTTGTAAACTAAGTATTTGCTAACCAGATAGGCATAGAAAATAAACGTCTCTTCTTGTGTTTGAAATATTTGTGTCGTCACTCCCTCTTTTCCCCTCCGTCTCGGAGTTTGTAAGATGCGGAAGGTATACCAGGAGCTCTGGACTATTCAAAAAGAGAGAACTAGTGTTTGACGAGCCGAAAGTTCGTGGAGGGCGCCGAGTTAACTTTGGCGACAAAATCGCTGCATCATCGTCGCGAGAGTACGATCGGCAGGCTCCGTAAATTTCGGCCCCAACTTTTGTCTTTCACGAGTCCAAGGGCCCCAGACTTGTCAAACACAAAGTTGGGTCTAGGGGCCCCAGACTTCTGAAACAGGAAGTTGGGGCCGTAGACAATTGTCAAGTGACAAATTAGACTAGCTAAACACAAAAGAATCTAAGGGCCCTATTGTCAAACACAAAGTTGGATCCAGGGGCCCCAGACTTGTCGAAGTCAAAGTAAGAACTATAGACTGTTCTAAGGGGCTTAGACTTATCTAGAGGCCCTATACTTGTCTAGGGGCCCTAGACTTCTCTAGGGGCCCTAGACTTGTCAAACTCTAAGTTGTGTCTCGTGCCTCCAGAGTTGTCAAACACAAAGTTGGGGCCCTAGATTTGCCATTGAAAAACAAAGTTTGGACCCTATACTTGTCAAAGGGCCCTGGACCTGTCATACACAAAGTTGGGTCTAGTGCCTCCAGGCTTCTCAAACAGAAAGTTGGAGCCCTAGATTGGCCCTTGTGAAACAAGGTTGGGATCTTGTACTTGTCAAAGGGCCCTAGGGAAGGGAATAGCCAAACAGAAACAAGTAGGGGCTCTAGACCTGTCAAACACAAAGGTGCGTCTAGGGGCCCTATACTTGTCAAAAACAAAAACGGGGCCATAGACTTGTCTAAAGGCCCTAGGCTTGGCAAACAAACGATGTCTAGAGGCCCTAGACTTGTCAAAGACAAAGTCGAACACAAAATGGGGTCGAAGTTTACAGATCGCGCCAATTGGACTCTCGCGACGATGACGGCGCGCTTTTTGCACAGACGACCAATCGACGCGTTATGCTAACTTTCGGCCCCATATGTGGGCTTGACAAATCCAGGATCCAGCTCACCTGCTTTTTTTTATATCCCTTTAAGGCTTTTGAACAATGCTGTTTTTTCTTTAAATTGCGATTCTTTGGAAACTTACTGTGGACATTGGTATCGAGACGTGTATCCATCGGTGCAATAGATCCGTTCACGGGCTTGGCGTACGCGTAAATGAGGTGGGTGCACGGCGTCGCGTCTATCTGCGCGACTGAGAATTTGCCGTCGCCGACCCGGTAGTAGGACCAGCTGGCAAAGTAGCACAGAAAGACCCTTTGGCGGGACGCTGAAAGAAATTCATAAAATAAGAGAGTGTTCTTGTGTTCCTGTAAATATAAAGAAATACGGCGATGATTTGGACGTCACGTACAAGGAAAGCGACTAAGCATGTCTCAAACTCACCTCTGAAAGCTAAAAATGTTCGCCTTCGTGAGAGGGACAAAGGTAAGAAGGTATTATTTTTTCTAAATGGATGCTTTGACAGAGACGAACAAAGGAAGTAAGAAAAGGTGGCAATTACTAAAAAGCTTTTTCAACATCCGACGATAACCACTGTATAAATTGTATTGATTATTAAAACCACGCTTTAGAAAGTATTAGTAAATAGCCGTATGCACCTAATAGAGGCCCGTTCCACCTGTTAGTGTGCACGTTTGTATGAACCGCTTCTTTTCTTATAATTTGTTTGTTTTATTTAACTCATAGAAGGAGTTGAAACTGTAAAACTTCTGATTGTTTTTGACCTGCCGCGTCCCACACTCAAGCCTTCTTGACTTACATGGGTACAGAGCGAAATATATTCATAAAAGAAAATTAATTGTATTGTATTGTGTCGTATTGTATTGTTATTAACCTTTTCTGTGCGATGCGTAATTTTTCGCAGGAAATATTTGGCCCGCGTTTTAAGGAAGCCCTGTATAAAGATTGACTGTTGGAATTAAAAACACTGTGGCTAGGTGGCGCAAGCTGTCACCCAAATTAAATGGCTCAGCAGTAGTCATATCTATCATCTTTCTGTCCATGTCGCCTGGGCAAATGACTCGCCCTTTAAAAAACTGCGCTTGCTTACTACTCGAGTGAATGCGTCTGTTTATAAAATCTTAGTCGTTGTGTAGGTGTTGTAAACTTACTTCTGTACGCATCTGCGCTGCACGCGATGGCGGCCAAAGACAAGAAGACGGTGGCTGGGTCAAAGGCCCTCATACTGGTGTCCGACCTTGAGAAAAAACAGTTTGCAGTTAGGAACATAGAACTATGTTTCAGAGACGCGGTAAGGAACAACGTAAAACTATTCTGGGTCAGAAAGGGTTCACTGGAACTGTACGGCTGGGTATCTCCTCGATTAACCTTCCGATTATTCCGTGTACTTTTTCAAAGCGATTAATAAGTTGCGTTTTTGGTTAGTCATATTGAGGAGAAATTAAAATCGTCTGCTTTAATAATTCGTGCGCATTTACCCGTTTTAGGAGGCAGCACTGTTGTACGAAGGCAAATCACTTTATAAAGTTACATAAGTCGGCCATCCAGAGTGATTATAAGTCACTCTGGTCATAATGAAAAATTGTATCCTTTTAAAAACTCCCAGAACAGTGTTCCTTTTGTCAAGTTTTAAATAAGGCTGTAGTACATTTCGCAGTTGATTGCATAGCAAAAAATAGCAACAACAAAATATGTAGTTTAACACCTTTTTAAAGGGGTACAGAAACGAAACATTTTTACTTCTTTTTTTTGTTTAGATGTGGTCTATGTTTTGCCGGCAGTCCAGAAAATTCAAGGAAACTAATTTCAAAACAAATTATTATATTTCAAAATTGCGTCTGGTGGCGGTCTGTGAATGCCGCCACGTCACGAGTTCCTAAGGAGCAGCGCCAGTTTGCGGCAGTATGGCTCTCTCGTGGAGTTACTTCGTCCTGAATGTGACTTGCCGGAGGACGCTAACGTGTTTACTGCGTTGTACATGTTAAAGCTTCCACAATGGCTCTGCAACGTGCATTCCACACCACAAAGATCGCCGTTCTTTGCAGACGTAGGTAGGGGCTCGATCTAAGGATGCGGGGACCTCTACCAAGATAACCATATCACTGCCCCCCCACTTTCCCCCCCCCCCCCTTCCCCTCCCGCCCCCGGTTGGTATGGCACCTTTAGTTCAATTTACCTGCACTTCTTGCACCAGCCTACTTCCGGTCGTATCTCAATACACCGGAAATATCAAAGCTTGTGCTTTAGAACCATCACCATCGGATTTATATACTTTTAATTTGGTTCCACATAAGATAAACTTAGTAAGTGAAAAATTTCGTTTGCAAAAACGTTCCGCTTATTTCAGGTGGAACGGCGTTCTTTTCCGCAATTTTTATGGTGTGTTGAACGGAAACGTTGTTCCACTTATGAACAATTACCGTTTATCTGGAACGGCGTTCCACCTACTGGTATCAGGAACACTGTTCTAGTGAAAGTGTGGGCATTTTCTGAGTCTTCGATCAAATTGTAAAATTTGAACAACGAGCGTTTCTTTTTCTTTTTGACTTGTTTCTCTGCAACGCGTAAGATGACTGGAACAGCGTCTCATGTAAATCAGCAAAAAACAGTGCCCACTGCCAATACCTTAAGTGCAAAAGCTAATACGCATGCTTCGAATGCACGAGTTCCGTATAAAACACTCATAAAAAAAAACATTCCAGATAAAATCGGCTGATTCGTTAAACATTATCTTCTACACAGTTGAAGTGGGATACCAACTTTTGTATGGAACGTAACTGAAACCCACAGCCGGGCTAACAGAGATTCGAACCCGAGACACCGCGAGGTCTGCGCTTCGAATGCCGCATGGCAATGAGTTCAAGGACAAAGATAGGCACGAGGCATTCGAACCACGGACATTGCGGTGACTCGATGTATGGGCAATGTGACCCCGGCTTAAGAAGAACCAGATTAATGGCGAATTCGGGTGGTCAATCGTCGGCAACTTATTCTGCCGGAAAACCGGCAATAGTGTTCGCGTGGTCAGTTTCCGGCCGGCGCGCACTGTTCGGGTGGTGGTGGTCCTTCGGCAAGCACCGGTCACTTTCTGGCGCCTCTCCGCCCGAGCTCCGAACGGCCGGGCGAGCGGGCGCACAGACTGTACCCGGTGTCGTCACCTCCGAAATGTGGAGAGGAGATAAGTGCGAAAAAAATTAGCGAAAGGTCGAAACTTATTTTAAGTCACTTCGGCAGCCAATAATCAAGTCAATCCAAGCCGTCGGGACAATACCACAAGGAAAATGGAGGACATGGGTGACGGCGGCGGTAGCCTCTGAGCGGTTTCTTGCGTACAGGCGGCGAACTAAACGGCCAGCGTCTGGCGTTTCACGTTCGGGGGCTGAGGGTCACGTGGTGTGCCGCCGGCGGGTTTGTGGTTGCCGGTGCCGCCAGCTAGGTCTATCCGACAACCGACCGCCCGAATTCGCCATAAGAGTGCAGTATCGTGAAGAAAAGTGTACTTACGATGATCCTATGGATAAGTCATCGCTGACCCCACGAAAGAGCTGTTCTAACGCGGAACGGCATCTATAAGGCTAAAGAACAATGCTATCTCTAGCTTTATATTTCAGATAAACAGTCTCAGCATTTTACTGCGACAACTGTAGGCAATTAATATCAGTTGTTTGTTTGAATGGAATGTGCTTGCGCCGTGGCGATAACGGCAAGAGGATGTTTGCGCCTGAGTCGTGAAAAATATAACTATTTACTAAAAACGGACTGTGCGCTGACCGAGAACGGAAAGTAGACTGCCGTATAGTTTGTGATCTTATTGTATTCGCAATAAACACGATTTTAAATCACAATGGGCGATTTATCGTGTATGAGCATAGTTGGCGGGTAAAATTGAACGTGTATTATTAGGGTTGTCTGTTTATGGTGTTTATTATATTTTTTTTTTCAAATTTAGAGGGTTTCTGGTGTTTTCTTTTTTTTAGAGAGGGAAATATTTTGTATATTCGGTCTTTTTTTTTTGCGCATAAACTGATCAGCAATTTTCACACAAAACACCGAATCTGTGGCAAAAAATTAGCCCGGCAACCGACACCCTTGAATTAAAAAAAAAAAAAAAACCAAAAACACGGAATGCTAGATATAATTAGGGTTCCGTTTTTTTTTTTTTTTTTTCTTTTCTGAGTTTAGTTCTTGTGTCCAAAAGTTGTTTTTTCAGAGCCTCTTTTTGTTTTTTAATCGGAGTCGTTCATGGCGTCTGAAATCTAGCTCAGTGCTGCGCTGTGCCGCCATGATCTTCCCAAGGGCTGCACGTTGCACGTGCTTCGTGCATCGACGAACCTTGTTCTACTTTTGAAACATGAAAAGGCTTCACGGTTGGCGTCGGCAGCTTTGCGGATCGTGGATGAAGAGAAGTATAATTTCTCGAAACTACCGCCACCCTCTTCCTTCTTTTCCACCACTCTGTCCGCTTCCTTTTTTCCGCCCCACTTTCCTACCCCTCTTCTAACTCGGAACTGACTCGCCCCCTACAAAAGGTGTGGTTAAAATGTTCCGAGCTTCCTTTACCCTCTCAACACTACCACTACTACCATGAAGAATACTTCTAGCCTTCGGGTAGCTAAGAAAGTACGCATAACCCAATAGCCGAAAAATAGCAAAAACTCTTTTAGTAGCACTGGTATGAGCTATTGGTATTGCTGTTATGCGTAACACGGCAATCTACGTGTTGAAAACCAGAACTCACGGAATCGGTTCAGTCTCCTTTCGTCAGCGTCCGTTTGGTCAGGTGAAGCTAGCTTTAGGTCTCACCTTAGGCTGTGTTCATGTAGAACTTAGGCTGGTCTCTGACAGAATGGTTTATGCCAGGTTATTCCACGACAGGTCATGGCTGGTTAGTCTGTAACAGGCTTATAGTTCATGATATATTGGTATGTCACAAGTTAGTCAATGATAAGTCAATTTATGCTAGTTGGGAGTGATTGGTTTAAAGTTTGAACCAGCCACGGATACAAAATAAAAACACCGGATGACGGTGCATTATGTGTGAGCGACCGGTTTAGCCGGCGATGGCAAACGAACAAAGTCCACGAGCACCGTGACGTTGCACTTTTGACGCTGAGCTTGATTGGCTCTTTCAAATGGTATAGAGTCGGCTGTGCTCGGACTCCGAGGCTCTTCCTGCTGTTTCCGTCGTTTCTCGCGTCCCCGATGCGCTCGCACACGTTCTGCGACCAACTGCTTCGGAACTATGGCCACGGTGAGAGAAAAGAAAAAAGTCTGAACGGTGCCACTTGGCCACGGACCAAGTGTGTCGAAGATCAAGGCCAGGATGGAAGAGAAGGGTATCTGTATAAGGCCAGCCAAGAAGGTAAAAACCTGCTCGGGCTTCGCATAACTCCTTCGGCCCTGTAAACTTCTGCGCGTGAATATGCACGGTTCTTCGAATGACTCTCATCAACCCGAGATGCCCAATCACACGATGCGTCTTGTTGACGAATCTTGTGTCGGGAAACTAGGTTTTCGAGAAACTGATGCTCCGTGCGAACGCGACGCAAAACGTGGCGGGCATCAGAAAAAAAGGTTGCGCGCGCTCCTCGCTTCAGGAGCGAGATTTTGCTGAAACCTCACCGAGGCCTGTCAATCGCCCGAAGAAGAAACGCGAACGCTGCCAATGGGCGCTCGACATCACTATGACGTCTGGCCTTCGAGGCGGAGAGAGCATCTGGAGGAGCCTGATTTTCGGTTGATCTCGTATCCGAGCCAAGGTGGCCAGAGCCGAAAAGAGAAAACAAACATGGCGGCGAGCGGCAGGCGGAAAAGCGGATACGGGCGGTACGGTTTGGCGCGGTCGGTGGCGCGGTGCAGATTCATCCAGTCGCGACCAGTGCTAGCACTGAATGTAAACATGATGACTGGGTATAACTGATATTTTGGTAGTGCAAAACTGTTCGAAATATTCGGAGATGCGGATGGTTGAGCCTGTTGCATGTCTTATTTACGATAAAGCAAGAGAGGGGGTGCCCGCGGTCTTTCCCCGGTTTGGCAGGGGTAATCTGGGTAATCCGAATCCCATGAGGTTTATCGAGAAGTATTAATTAAGCAGACTGTGTCTCCGCACTGTGCGTACTTAATATCATTTTAATTCGAAAAGCTTCATATACCCGGTGCAGATGAGAAGGTTTGGCAAAATTCTTGCGAGTCAACGCGCCAGAGGTTTCGCGCGTTGAACCCCAGGTGCGAACATGCCGATTTCTCGAAATCTCGACTTCGCTATACCGTTGCGCATTGAAAAGATACATCGTGTGAATAAGCCTTAAGATGCCCCTAGACACGCTTCGCCACCTCATAGCTTCCTCCAGATATGTGAACGAACCTTCGACACGTACTTACCTTAATACTTTACCAAGATAATATATTCTAGTCCGCTCATTTGCATTAGACAATGCGCCTATAGCGCCAATTCACCCCTAGCGGGGGGGATGGCCTGCGTCCTAGAGAAGCTATGCGCACGTTGTCAAGCCATCGCACTATACTCCGACGGAGAGGGCTGCCGCCGGCGCACCGAGATACCGGATCGGCCGAGACAGCGGAGACGGCTGCATTCGCTGTCTCGCAGGTTGTCCACCCCGTCGTTAGGTGGTGACAGCCAGGCTTCCGAATTCAGAGGGGACATTTGGTACATATTGGTGAATTTTTATATATGCAGAGGCTGTTGTCCTTTTCCTTGAGTGTTCAATTAGATTTTTATATATGTATATTACGTCAGGGGCATTTAGTGCTTCATTAATGTTTTTTTTTTCTTGCAATCATGTGCAATGGCCTTTCAGAACGCTTTGAAGTGTATTGAATGAAATATACTGAATAAAATAAATAAACAAATAAATGAAAATGATAAAATATTGTTTCGTATCTTGTATTTTAATACTTTCCTAAAACATGTAATTGGACTTTTAATTAAATACTTTTTTGTCCAAGTATTCTGTATTTGTATTGCAGTACAATTTTTCGAGATTTTTGTCCAACCCTGGCTCCTGCTGGTCGGCAGCGGCCGTACTTATTAAAGGAGCTGTGCAACGATTTTAACGTTGAAAGAATTTGCATCTTCTACGTTTGATATTGTTTATCTTGTCAGAAAAACAGAAAACAAATCTCCTTCCTTCGAAATGTTGCGATTCCGCCGCGTGATCGCGAGGCCCAAATTGGAACATTTCCCGACCTGGAGCCGCGAGCGGCGACCGTGAGAACCACGCGGCATGACGTCAATGGGGGACTTGTAGAAAGATAGGAAATTGTGCAAATACCTGCTCGATAAAAGATATTTTTTTTCTATAAATTTTGTCGTTTAACATAAATATATATGCGTCAAAAACCTGGTATAATCGACAAAACTTTTATTATACGGAGTTTTAGTGGTGCCATCTATAGGAGGTCAACAAAACCGTCAGCTCTGTCTGCTACCGCGAACAGCCGCCATAAGCCAGAGGGCTCTGGGGGCAGAGCCGGACTGGGGTGGCCAGACCCGGATGAGATTTTCCTCCTTTCGCCATGTTGGCCGCACCGCGCAAGCACGTGGTCACGTGGTCGCGGGCGGATGAGTTCTCGCTGCTCACTGATGGCTCTAGAGAAAGAGCTTCACCCGAACCCCGCGCGACCCCCATTGACGTCACAACGCACGTGACTCGAAAGATGGTGAAGGAGTTGAGAGGTGTTGAAAACCTTAATTTTTGTTCATTTTTAAAATAAAAAAACTAGGACATGGAGGCAAAAGGGGTTTTTCGTTCTTTAGTTCAGAAACGTCGAGACACCAACTCCCAAATTATTTAAACAAAGCACTGAAATTGTTACACAGCTCCTTTAAACGCTGCTTCGGCAGGCGCTTATCATCGTCCGAAGCCATCCTTATCATATGACAAGGGCTCAGCTCGAGGTGGCGAACAATCTCACCAGTTCAGTGATCAGCGACCGTCAATGTCCTCTAAAGCAGCGAGAGAGATAGAAAGAGAGAGAAAGAGAGAGAAAGAGAGAGAAAACGTGTTCTCATACTATCAACCGGCGAGCGAAACGAGTTTATCCATGGGCAATCCCGCCCACGGCCGGGCAGATACCCAAGGCAGACCGCATGAAGCGCTTCGTCAAACACACATTGCCGATAAACATGAGATGCTCGAGATTGCCGTAAATATCGGTCTCTTAAGGCACTTCTGTGCGTGGGTTCAACCAGGATATAAACAACCTACGACCCCGTATATTATCGTAAAAACGAAGCGAGTATAAGCATTGTTTTCCTCTTTAATATCAAATTAAAATTGCGCGTCTAGTCTCAGTCCGACTCCGTATACATCGTGATATCAAAATTATTTGCGGGCACGGCTCACGCATTAATTTCAGCAAACATGTTCAAACATGCATGTAAACAGTTTCTGTGTACAACCAGTGTAACAAGACTGTCATGCAAGAAAGAAACACGTCTCAGAGAGCCCCTGCAAGCTGACCATTGTACGATGTATTATAGTGTTACGTAATAGTGGCACACGTTGATTTCATTTTAATTACTTTAATTACCACTTA